GAAGCCAAGGACCGGGGTACTTTGACGCTCCTCCACCGCCAACCATGCCAGCCCATCGAAGTCAGCTGGTGGCTGTAACAACACCATGTGCCCTTTCCAAATCAAGGTCCACACTATCCAGCCTCCATCTTCCCAATCCGGACCCACAATGGTCTCCACGAGCAAGTTCCTTTGGAAATCCGCTCTCACCACCACCACTTTGGCCGCCCCGAGCTCCATGATAGGGAAAACCGCTAGGCTCCGGAAGTCACGTTCGTGGGCTGGATGTAGGAGGTCATGAAGATACACCCTCAACTCGTGCTCGATTGGGGTCACAAACTCCGCCGCCTCCCCCATCTGGGTGGCTGCATCCAGCGCTAGCCGAGCCTGATCCAACCTCAACTCCCGAGCCTTATTCTCGACCTCCTGCAACGTAGGGCGTCTCCCCTTTTCTCTCCAGAGGATACCGGCTGCCAAGGTCTTGGTGACACACTGCCGTTTTTCTATCACCGGCTCCGGCATCTGAAGAATTCCCGCCAGCTCTTCGGAAATGAAGACTTCCTCTTGGTAGTCCCAACTCCTCCAGGATCTCCCATCCACCTCCACAGAGCCTTGGCCTGGTTCACCGGTGGCCCACATAGTCTCCCTCACGACCAGGCGGGTGTTCTCGCCCGCCCTCGTGCCGCCCTGTTTTTCAAGAATGATGGCAGCTTCCTCTGCGAGATCTGCTACCCCGTAGGCCACCATCTCCCCCATGAGCTCCTCGAACGTAACTTCCTCGTCTGCAGCTACCCTCGCCGATGCCCACGCGTAGAGATCATCTGACGCCTCCTGCAACTTTCCCAGAACGGGGCCCGCCGCTAGCTTCTCGGCTTTGTCCACCATGTTCACGGCCTCCTCCGGCGCCTGGAAGTCTTGGGAGGGGAAATAACCACGATCTTGATGCCGGACTGGTAGCCCCCAGGATCGGTCGTCTCTGTTCACGAAGTCCCTGACGTCCTCCTGCTTGGTGTAGTCGATCGCCTCGAACTCCTCCGGCACCTCGTTGAAGTGGACGGTACAGGTTCCACCTGCTTTCACTTCCTCTGCCTTTTCTCCCCCGTCGTCCTCCTTGTCAGCCCCCGCCTTCCGCTTTGGTTTGCTGATCTTTGAGGCCTTGTCCTTCTGGACTCCTTGGCGAAGGGCCTGGATCTTGTCTCTCGCACTCTCAGCCGTCTCCTGCTTCATGCGACGAAGGCCTCCCCGACGCAGTAGTTGCATCTGAACTGCTGGGTCCAAAGCTTCGAAAGATCCCTTGAGGTTCTCATGGGCCCGTTGGCAAGTAGTGGAATGGCACCCTGCATGCGTCAAATAGCCCCAACATAGCAATGCCCCCCCTTTTCCAACAGGTGCCCGATCTCGTGCCTTGTTAACTTCCTCCTGGGTGAGCTTCGGGCCAATGAGGTTCGTTGAAGGTTTTCCCCCTCCTCGACTGTCTTCTTCAGCCTCCTTTTCTCCCCCAGCGTGCAACCCTGCGGTCTGCTTCTTGTCGCCTCCCCACGTCAAGCGCCAGAGGGCCCGCTCCTGTCTCCTTTCGATGCGAGGCTCCAGCTCCATCTTGAACCACCCTTCCGGGTTGAGTAGATCGAAAGTCCGTGGGAGCTCCAACCAAGCGCGTCCTTCTGGGCCAGGAAGTAGTGCGTGGAACCTGATCTCCGCCAGGGACATAGACTCCCTTTTTGCCACCTTCTTCAACTGACGAAGGACCTCTTTCATTTCTTCCATGAAACGCCAGTGGAGTTCCTCCCACGCGTCCATCACTATCTGCAGCGGCCACTTGTGGGGAAGCTCTTGATGCCAACCTGCCAGCAGATCCAAAGCGTGCTCCCTGACCTCCAGCCATTCCATGCCATAGGTGAGTGCCCACACCTGGTTCTGTCGTTTCACACGGGCAATCCACTCGTCGAGGCGAGTCGGAGGTGCCGGCCTCTGCTCCCCTTGCCCCTTCAGATGTCTTGCCTCTGATGCGAAAGCGTCAAGTTCCGCATCAGTCACCTGCACGAAGTCTGCGGCCGTCAAAGCGTGCTTATCAGTTGTGCCCCAGTAAGGCCCTGCCAAACCCACAGCTAGCCTCGTCGAGATCTTTTGTCTGAAGCCCAAAGACCTCAACTTTGTGGAAGCCCCTACCTGGGCCGCGAGCAGCGAGTTGGCTAGCGCAGCCCCCACATCACCAGGGCAGACTTTCACGTCATACTGGTCGCACGCGCGCATCAAGTAGACCAGTTCTTCGGATTGTCGACCTAATCCACGAACTGAACCTGGTGGGTGCTGGCCTGAATCCTGTTGTGCTCGCACCAACGTAGCAATCTCGGAGGTTTGGTTTTGGATAGCTTGAGTCAACTTAGCCATGGGGTCATAGGTCTCCTCCCGAGCTTCTGCCTTCCGGTCAGCGCCGCGTCCATAGATCCTCGGAGCTCCAACCAAGAGGTCCCCCACTCCCGCCTTCTCAGACATCTCCGGGCTTGAGGGATTTGATGGTTTTCCAGAAGGGTCAGACGACACCACACTCCAAGTACTCGATGGCTGCGGGGTGGATGGAGGGAACACAGGCTGGGCAACCTCTTGTGCATCCTTGCGCCACTTCTGTAGGAACTTTGACAGCCCCTTTTGACCCTTCTGCTGTTCCTCCCAAGCTTGACCATACAGCTTCCTGGTGATCTCTTGGAAGTTTGAGCCATGGCGGTCACATAGCACTCCCCTAGCCTTCTCTTCCGTCATGCCCTCGTGCTTGCCCTCGGTGTAGACCTCGAAGAACTCCTCCAGTATGCTGCGTTCCGGCCCCCCGTCAGGTGAGTCAAGCATTTCCAGCTTTGCTAAGCTCCTGTGAATTGATGACTTTGGTGTTCTCCCCGGAGACTTGGAAGTAGTTTTCACTCGCTTCGAGTCCGGCTCATCTTCCCACCCATCATCGTGGGCACCTTTCATCTCCTGAAGCAAAGACCTGGCCTTGCTCCCTCGGTGGTCCGCTCTCCCTTCTCTCACGCCGTCTGACACCACCTCGAAGCCGTCGTCAAAGCGCCTTGAAGTACTCCTCCTCCGTGATGTAGTGCTCGCAGAAGGTCTCCATCTCAGCCCACGGTCACCCTCGAGCTCGTTCACCTCCTCGCCCAGGTTGTCCTCCAGCTCGTGGTCCCGTGTTGGTTCCCGTGACCTAGACCGGGACACCCGACGCTGCTTGACCGACTCCTCGTGGTTCCAACACAACATGAGCCCTTGATGGCCAGTGTGTCCTAGCCGTCGACAATCAGCGTGACTGCACTTCTTGGCAAAGCGCTTCAGGATATATTGGGAACCATGGCCTTCACACAATGGGACCGTGTCCTGCTCCCCCCAGCTGATCTTCTTTGAGCAAAGTAGTGCGCTCCCGAGCTTGATGAGAACAAGGAGCCGGGGCTAAGCGTTCATCTCCCTTCTCAGTGCTCCAGAAGACTCGATGAGCCTGGCATGGTTCCTCATCCCGTTCAGATTCGGAGCCCAAGTCCCGAACCTTCGCAGCCAGGTTCTTAGAGCCGCCCAGAGCCCACTGCCACGCTCTCGAACCCCAAGTCATAGCCTCCTTGTTCGCCTGGTTGAAGTTGAAGCTCTCGTAGTCGATCTTCTTGGTCAAGCCGTACACCTTGAAGTGATAGCCGGGCTCGCTGCACTCCTCGCTCCTGCACAAATGCACCTTGTCCACTCCAGTCAGCTCCTGCAACAGCGAAGGGGCTCCCCGAAGTGTGTCGACCTCGATGCCAATGTAGACCCCGCTGGACCTGATCGGGTGGCTCTCATTGGACACCTTGAAGACGGCTGTGTGGTCACCCCTTTTGAGCACCACCCATTTGTCGGTTGATACTTGAACTTGCGGAGCTCCGCAGTCTCGGGTGGTTGTCCAGTACCAGGACCGAAGTAGTCTGCCATCAAAGCCTCAGGCGTTCCACCCAAGAACCGTTGGACCACAAAAACAACCCCACCAAGAGCACGAAGAAGACGTCGAGCCAACCACACCACCGTCATCATCACCGCACACACCAATGACACCACCGGCCAACAGACCGCCCAGATGTAGTGGGCGATGATGCAGCATCCCAGGAGGATGCAGCACTGACAGATGCGCCTGCATCCGTTTCGAACCCCAGCCCAGGCGCTTCCGAAGAGTGTCCAGCCGAGTAAGCTGAACGCCAAGTCAGCCAGCGTCCAGAGGCTCCGGTCAAAGCCGCTCTCCGCCGTGGGTTCCGTCAAAGAGGCCACCTTGGAGAAAGTCTCTGAGGCTCCATCTAACCAAGGCGTGGCCGCCGGAACCCATTCCTCGACCTTGCCTCGCCACCATGGCTTCGCTGGTGAAGGCTCAGGTGGCGTTGAGGCGTTCCACCACCCTCGCCCATGTGCGACGAGGGCAGCCACCATCAGCCATCTCACCACCATGGCGGATGCCCAGGATCCCGGAAAAACCCAGGACCGCTCAGGTCCTCTTGAACCTCCAAAGGCCGGCGTGGCCACAACTGCTTCAAAAGCAACGCTTCACGAAGCTCCTAATAACCGTTTGCGTTAAAAAAACAAGTTTTTGTAGATCAGCTTCCTTCACAAACGCGAAATTCATGTGAGGGGCCACTGTGGCGCAACCGTAGGAATGCCACTCCACCAATGATAATGAAATCAGCCAATTTATCGAAAATGGATCGGGTGTAATACCAGGGCCACTAAAAGCGCCCATACTCTCACCAATGCTGCTGGGTGATCAGGAACACATGGAGGATGGTTCAAAGGGCGTGAAATAGACAGAAAATACGATGTCCACTTCATTTAAAGGCCCCTCACAACCCTCCTCACAGAGGCTCTTTAAAGGTGTCGACTCACTTCACATCAGCTGATGAGCTCATAATCGCTAATGCGATGCACATCAAAGGAGTACCATCAAATCCAATCACAGCCCACAAAACTGCAACAAATCCCGGACACTCTCCGATGCCCACAAAATCGGATCCTTTCGTTTCAGATCTCGCCTACAGCCACGGGGCCGGCGCCCTTGAGGAATGGGCGTGTGCCTGGCGCCGAGCCCCTACGAGGCTCACAGGCGACAAGTGGACCCTCATCTGGTGGACGACCACCACGTAGTCCCTGGTGAGCTAGAACAATTGCAGAAGCCTCCCAGTGTTGTGATCAAGCATAAAACCGTTCAATCAAACCAAACACCTGGCTTTGTAAAAAGAAAAGAAAAACACCATTGATATGGGTGTGTCTTCCATGTGTCTGATCCGAGTTTAACACATGATTTTTATCTGTAAAAATCTCTCCTTGGCATTTCTTCCCTGATGCAGCAGGGCTGTCCCCCTCTTTGGGAGACACCAAAGGGGAAGGGGGGAAGTGTTTTGTTCATATCTTTCAGACAGAAACCAGGGCCAGGGTCCCTGGTCCCCTCGGGGGATTCCGATGTGGGGGTACCAGACTGCCAGAAACCAAAGGCACCACCGCTTTTAAGACGCGGTAAGTATATACTCAACTGGTGAATTATGAATTGGAAATCACAGCATTCAAGTCGGAAGAGTGAGCTGATCGAAAGACTGCTTGATTCGAATACTTGTTTTTGAGACGTTGGTACAAATTCTGGCTTTGTGAAAAGGAAATTGGTGCATAAGGAGGATCACATGCGATGTTGAGAGTGGATACCAATTTCACGTCAAGACACACATTGAGCGGGTATTGTTGGTTAGGCAAGGAGGAGTAAAGATGCAGGTCATCCATTTCGTTGTTCGTAAGGAAGAAGAGGAACTCAGAGGAACTCCCCATCGGGCCTGAACACCTGGATCAACGAGCCACGCAGTCCACGGTCACTCGTTGTTCCACACGAGGTCGCCAACCGGCGGGGGACGCCGGCAGAATTCGACTGCGCCACCCTCCCCGTCCTCCGGTGCTCCGGTCTGAGTCTACGCGGTGTTTGAACAGAAACGAAGTCGGTGCGTGGAAGGGAGGCGCCTCTTGCCCACTTGTGGTGCAAGAAAGAGCACGTCCACAGACCCTTCGCCCTGGCGGAGAGGAACAGGGTCACCGAAGGGGTCGTGGCGCAGCTCAACAGGAAGTCGGTGGCAAGTGATGGCACTCCCACATGCCTCAAAATGGAATCAAACATCGGTCCCATGGCAACTACGGGCATCGGGGGCACACTTTGGCTCACTTTTGGTGATCTTTGTGGGAAGGAGAATGAGCAACAAGAGAGGGACCCGAATGAATCTTGTCGGTAGCAACCGGAATCGTACTGTCCACACGCTCTTTTCACTG